GGACGGAACTTCTTAGCAGAACCTTCGGAAATCTGCTTGTCAGTCAATGGCGGGCCCTCGAACTTCTCGTCACCAGTGTACAGGAAGGTGTTCAGGTCCTGGGCCTGCGTGTCGTAGTAATCAACTGACGCTGCAGCTCGAGGGTCTTGTTCCTCTGTGGGGTGAGTCGTCATCATCTGGTCGCAGCCATTGACTGTGGTTGCAGTCCGATGGTCACTATCGTCGCTGGGAGTGCATGTAATGGGATCGCGGGCATTTACGGTGTCGTTGGAGCTGTGATCCCAGGGGGACTGACTGGCCACGTCGGGATTGCGGTTATACTGACTTTTGCCTAAGTCAAGGAGATCATGGTCTATTTCTGGCGTGGGTTGAGGTCGTCGATAAGTCGTTGAGTGGGTTACTGCCTTAAGGATTTCTTTTGAAGGGACTTTGTCGCTTATTTCAACAGGTGCAATGTTGTTCCTGGTTAGTGTCTCGTTGAGGTGTTTCGAGAATGAACCTGGATGAACCATGTTCATGTGATGGGCATGCAAGTAAGACAAGTATATAGTGGTGGCTTTGGACTCGTCCAGCTGTGGAGAGGAGACGCTCCTGATGCTCTCGGCCACTGCGTCCCTCATGGCGCCCAGTGACTCAGTAACTGCCAGTTTTATTGAGTCCTTGATGGTTCTTATCTCTGATTGCAGGACTTCCATGGTCTCGCTGACATTGTTGAGCTGTTGGGAGTCTGCTTGAGTTTCTTTTAGAGCGTCTTTTAGGGTTTGGCTGTAAGCCATGATCGTCGACTGAGTGGTCCTTTCTATGGTGTTAGAAATTTCCCTGGTTTCTTTTTGTTTGGTTATTTCGGTCAGTTTCTTCTCTGTTTCTTGAAGTACCTGTTTCCTGACCAGGCAGGTGGCAGAGAAGGTCCTGTGGTCACCCTCGCAGACGACACACTTTTTTATGGTGCTACGGCAGTCTTTGTAGAAGTGCTGATCAGATGAACACTCAGAGCATATGACCCCTTGCATGGGGCAGTTCTTGGTCATGTGGTCATTGTATTTATAGCACTTCATACATTGTTGGATGGGCGTATACTTTTCATATTCTATTTGGTGTGATGAGATGGAAGTGCCATATGCATAGAGCCCCTTCTCCTTCATTCTTTTTGCATCCGTTGTGTCTGCAAAGCGAACCTTGATTATATTATGGGCATACATAGGATACACCTCCACAACCTTGACATTGTTTTGCTTTTGTATTTCATCTCTTATTTCTTCTGCGTTATTTTCCACTACATATTTGTCTAACTTCTTACATACAAGGGTGAGTTTGGCGCCGTATTCCCGTGGGACAATGACCTCGTAACCGTTGGTTTTCATTTTGTCCATGGCACTAGACTTAAGTAGTTTATCAGCATCTTCATCTGTTTCTGTGAGGATGATGTAACCATCTCTCAGATCCACAAGTCTATTTATCCTCACCCTTCGGTCGCTCAATAGCCTTTTTAGCCGTATTCGAGACCCCTGGGTCGGGGTTCCGGAGATCTTCACTCTCACTTTGGCCATGGTCACTAACATACATGAATGAATGAAAATCCTACCTAATCTGTCCACCTCAGTTAAACCCCATGGATGCCGCTCCTTCTGTCTGCTTCCTGGGCGAGTAAAGACGGGTCTAGGGGTAGGGTGAACAGACAATCCCCTGGCGGGGGCTTAGCCAAGCCCTAACACCTAGCAGTGACAGGTTATGAAACACTGTCGAATCCCTAACAGAAAATGTTGCCACCCTTACTGTCTCGACTCAGCAGCCCTCTGAGGACCCCCTTGAGGCTCTGCCTGCAGGGTTCGCGTCGTTACCAAACAGCAGGGACTCTAGGCGAAAGGATAGGATAGGGAAGAAGCGCAGTGTACAAGAATAATGATATCCATGTACAACTACATGATAAAGCAGTCAGAACGGACCCAACGCGAAAAACAAGGCAGACAGTCGTAACGGTCAGCGATTTGAACTGAGCAGGGAGCGACGCGTGGCACGTCCGCTCGCTATGAAGGTTGGGTGCGCTCTGACAGACTAGCTAGGGGATGGATCGTTAGTCGAGTTTTTGCACACACTCGAAAACTGCATATTATACACACACACACACGTCACCATCAACCTCTCCTCCGACGTTGTCCCACCCCCTCCATTACTTTAGGTCCCAACACACTCCAGGTTGTACGTTCCACTAAGCTCCTCGGCGTCACCAAAGACAACAAACTAAATTGGAAACCACACGTCAGTGAAATTGTCAAATCCTCCAGTTTCCGTCTCCACCTCCTCCGCCGACCCAAGTCCCTCGGAGTTCCTGCCCCGAGCTCCTCAGTGTTTACTCAACATTCATACTTCCCAAGCTCACCTATGCCTCCCCTACTTGGTCTTCCTCCCTAAATGCCACACAACGTAAACACCTAGAAAAAGTGCAAAAGAAGGCATACAAGATTATTCTCTCCCCTTCCTACTCCACATATCAAGAAGCGCTTAACACACTGACCCTCTCGGCTTTCACTGACCATCACCACGATCTCATCTGCAAATTTGGTGAGAAGCTTCTGCACCATCCTCGACACCGGCTCCTACTACCACCCGAGATCCCTCGCCCGAGAATTGCTGTTCGACACCACAACCGCATCCAGTCCATACTAGCACGAACTGATCGCTATACAGTAAGAACAGCCCAGTCCCAACCATTGTAAGAATTATCAATACCTTGTAATCAACCAGTGTATTCACTCCCAGTCAATCTTACTTTTTGCACTGTCACTATGTTGAAATGCCCTGTAGTTTGAGCTTCTACCCACCTAGTTATTATATATATTAAATTATTTGTATCACTTATGTTACTTGTATATTATTTGTAAATCAAGAGACCCATTCCCCAATTATGTAGCAGTATATTTTCAGCCTTCCAGCTGCCATGCTCTTTCAATAAACCGTTAATTATTATTATTACACACACACACACACACAAGTAAACTGTATTTTATAATAATAATAGTAATACTAATAATAATAATAATAATTAATAATAATAATAATAATAATAATAATAATAATAATAATAATAATAATAATAATAATAATAATGGTTGCTCCTCGTGTAACGAGGATGGCCGGCCCAAGGGTCTCCTAGGCGTAAATTTGTTTAAGGTGCAGAAGCTGTCGCCAACACAACAACCACACCCTAAGTTAACGAGTTGCATTTCTCAGTGTCAAGGAATAGTCCGAGAAGACCGGACAACTCGCCAACTGCACTGGCTAACCATTACCCCGGGACACGATCCGCAAATCGATTAACATACAGGTCCCCAATTACTGCTGGGTAGACAGAGGCAAATAGCTTAAAGAAACTTGCCCATAGTTTCACCCTGCCTGGGGTTCGAAACCGAGTCTGCTCGCTTGCAAAGCGAGTATGCTGACCACACACACACACACACTCATAAACTGCATATTATACACCCACACCCACACACTACATACATATTTACAGTTCAATGAGTTGCGGAGTACAGCCCAGCAAAAGTTTAACAGGGAGGTTGCGGTACACCCACGTGCGTCTGACCAGTCATTGCTAAGTATGACCTAATATTACAAGTCAGTCTGAGCAGATTATGTGGGCCATTTACTTGTACCGGCCAATTGACTTGTGAAATTTACTTGCTCAGATATTTTATCTACTTCCCGCGAACAAATTTAAGAGGAAATTTGCTCGCACCGTTTTTGTTCGAGGAAAGTTAAATAAAAGTTAAATAAACATTTAAAAACTTTATTGTCTATTAATTTACAGATCACTTGTCTCCATCCAAATGCTTTTTAATCTTGCTCTTCACCCATCCAATGGCTTCCTATACACGTGGATGTTTTTACTCCAATTTGTTAAGCAGGGATAACCATAGCTTTGACGTTAAGATATGGCGTCCGGTTAAACACACACACACACACAGAGCACCCTCCCCTGCTGTTGTTTTTAGCATCAGGAGTGTGTGTATGTAATTGTAATAAATAATAATAATAATAATAATAATAATAATAATAATAATTAACGGTTTATTAAGTTAACGTGGCAGCCCGAAGGCTGAAAATATACAATGAATAGAGGTTGTAGGTTACATATGGTGGCAGCGGGGAGTGGGTCACTTGATTGACAAAAGCTTTCAAAGCGAAAATATAATAAACAGAGTCAACATATAGATTAACTATAGATCTGGTAGTGTTTGAGCTGGACTTGTAAACATTCTTGTGACCTGATGTTGGCGCTCACTGTCTGGATGGCCGTTGCGTCATACCTGGTTGCTAATCCGCTGCCTCACTACAGCTGCAGATCCACCTCGTGGTCCGGGAAGGTCCTTCAGCTCACACAGGGTGTTGGAGATGGTTCTTGTTCTTCCTGTGATGTAGTTTGGAGTCTTTCTTGGCTTTTCACCCAGTGTTGGTGGTGGTGCGTGTACGGCGGACTGGGTGTGTCTGGTCCTGTCAGGTCAACATTGACCGCTAATCACGATCGTCGCTGTAACAGTTGTTTCTTTGTTTTGAGTTGAAATTGTCACTTTTGTATATCAGTTGTGGGTTGATCGTCAATCTTTGTACTGTTGGTGGGAGGAGATGGGGAAGGGGAAGGCCCGACAAACCAGGCTGGCAGCTGTCTCAATGGTCAAGAGACCACGGGCAGCGCCGACGTCCTCATCCTATGAAAGCTGGAGATGGAGTGTGTGACGAAATGTAAACTTTCCCGAGCCACGACACATCTCCGACGGTCATGAGCGGATCATTTTCTCACCTTGTTTTCGTAATACTTCGTTTATTCCACGTTTCCATGTATTCAGTACACCTTGTAATGAATTATAAATTATACTGTCTGCATAAACTAACCCATACATAACGTAGCTTATCTGCACACCTAAACAATATGCTTACCGACAAGGTAGAATTAGTTGTATTAATAGAATATCAGTGTTGAAACCTTGTTATTTTTCTCATCCCAGGTATGTGATGAAGATGTATCCCAGGCCAAGAGAAGGAGCGCTGCTGCAGGCTCTTGTTGACCTGCTGCTGGCCACGGCCCTCACCACTGCTGCCCTAGTCAAGTACACCAAGGTTAGTACCAGGACCAGGCAGCTAGGATGAGGCAGCTAGGGTCAGGCAGCCAGGACCTGGCAGCCAGGACCAGGCTGGCCCTTATCAGCCCCCCTCCCCCCGCTGGTAAGCAACACAACACTGACCTTGGTGTTGGCAATACTGGTGGAACTATTAGCGTTAACAGTAGTCGTCATAATACCCACCTTACCTTATTTACCCAATGGCCACCCACTAGAGGTGGCCATGCCAAGGGAAGGAGGCCAGTGGTCTGTGTAGGATCCCTCCATTGTTCTTGATAATTTTGTCAAGGGCAATTTTGAAGCCCAGTACTGTACTTGATTTTGGGCAAATTTCATCTCGCAGTACCGTTTGGCTGATCTAATATCCTGTTTGGCCAAACTTAGGGCTCTTTTGTATACTATATTATATGCACGATGCCCTGTTCTCTGGTATTTTTTCTTACAGGCTTCCGTAGATCTATGATTCACCCACCTGGTCTTACTCCCTCTTCTCTTTGTTTTCCGTGGTATACATTCCTCTACTGTTAACTCAAGAGTCTGCCTCCTCTTTAACGGTTCCCTCCCAGTTAATCCTCTTGCAGTTTGTCTCCCATAGTAGTATCCCTGGTTGAAGTCATAGTATTCCTACTCAACTACTTTCTCCCGACTAAAAAATAACTCAACACTGCACAAAATAACCATCGTATGACGTACAGTATTACAAGAAAATAATATATGTTCTGTTATCAAAAAGTCTAATGTTAATATTATAGATAATCATTACACATTAATCATTGCCTCAAGGAACACCCTGAAAAGATGTTAACAGAAAATAAACTCGAACCCTTGACATATTGTTGAGAGATGCGTGTGTTACCGCTGTACAACCAACACCCCACACGTACTACAGCCATTTTATGTACTTATTCTCGTAATGAACAATGTTTCGATTCCTGTTTTTCCTTTCAGTTGATATTATATGGTGTCTAATGATATATAGTGTACAGTAAATGTCTTCACTGTTTCCCTACTTTTTCTAAACACTTGCTGAATCAGTATTAACTATTATCATGATTTTACTGAATAAAAGCTAAAGTGAACAGTGAAGACGAGGGTGGCAGATTATTATTATTATTATTATTATTATTATTATTATTATTATTATTATTATTATTATTATTATTATTATTATTATTATTATTATTATTATTATTATTATTATTATTATTAAGAGAAATACCTGTCAATATTCACCAGGTAGTGGCCAGTTTTCCATCATCCTTGTCATCGTGTCAGCTCGCTTACTACGGGCCATCCTCTTTTACTAACACCCGGTGTGGAGCGCTCTGTAACCAAACCCCATCCTGTAGACTCTTCTGTACGACGGGTGAGTCTCTGGTCAAGAATGAGGGTGTGGTGTGTGTATACCAGAGCAACGTGGTATGTAGGTGTGTGTGTGTGTGTGTGTGTGTGTGTGTGTGTGTGTGTGTGTGTGTGTGTGTGTGTGTGTGTGTGCACACAGAGTAGTGTAACGCGTCAAGTGTGGCAGCATAATGTTAGTGTTAAGGTGTAAGCACTGCTTGCTTCCTCTCGCTATCAGCTACCACCGGTGGCTAGCCCTGGTGGCGAACAGGGAAGCATCTTGCAGATGTCCTCCCCTGCCAGTACACAGCCTCTTCACTATCAAGATTCCTGTTGTGCCTCCTCGTGGCAACATACGGTAACTAGGTGCCTCGTGGGCACAGGCTAGACCAGCGGGGGATCTCGGATCAGCAGTGGGCCCCAGAGGGACGGTGCATAGGACCACTGACATGTGGACACGTCCTGGTGCCTTGCGAATTAACCTTGGTAGGTATAAGTCTACGGGAGTAAACCCCGAATGAAAAATCTGCGGGGGAGCCCCGCGACAGGGAGACATGCTTACAGAGCTCCAGTAAAACCCAACAGCGGTGTAGGCGGAAGAGGTGACTAACATAAGAACCCAACGACTACACCGGCGAACGAAGGCAACGCATGATGGATAGGCTACTAAGGCGAAACCCCAAAACTGGGCTATCGGCAGTCTATTGCAACTCTCCCTCTCCCCAGTCGTTCCAGTGGTGCTGGATCAGTAAAAGGGAGACGAGTGGCGAAGGTGACAGGCAGAGATGCCTGTCGGGAGTCTCTTGTCACAACTCTGCACATGGGTGGCACAGATAAGATGGTTGTTTATATACTGGGACCTAGGCAGCACTGTAATCCAGTTCTGTCTGTGCGACTGAGCAGCCCTTTCGAGGAGCCACTCTGCTCTTCCCACATGGGAGGGGGCTAGAAAAAGTGCCCCAAACATAGCCTGCCTAAAACTCCAACCTGACTGGGCAACCGCACCCAGTAAGGTCATCCTTATGCGGTCGAAAACACAATCATAATCACAGATCAAAACAAACACAGACTATACAACCTCTCATGGTCATTGCTTGGAATGTCAGGACCCTTCAGGATACTGTCACAAATGAGCGTCCTGAAAGAAGAACTGCCCTTGTGGCAAAAGAGCTGGCTAGGTATAACATTGACATAGCAGCCATTAGTGAGTCCCGGTTCCCAGACGAGGGTCGACTCATAGAACGGGGTCTGGCTATACCTCTTCTGGAAGGGTAAGTCTGCTGTGGAGAGAAAACAACATTTTTGGAGTTGGCTTTGCTATCTACCAATGCATCCTACATATGTTAACTTAAATGCGTGTTGGGATCAACGAGCGCCTCATGACGCTCTGAGAAGATAAGGTTGTGCTTCCAGATGACTGCAATGCCAAAGTTGGTAGAGATGCTGACATTTGGCAGGGAATCACAGGGAGAAAAGGACTAGGCAAGTGTCATCCCAACGGCCTACTCCTCAGCAAGTGTGCTGCACCCATCCTCACTATAACCAATACCTTGATTTAGACACACCGATAAGTTCAAGGATTTGTGACAACACCCACAATCCAAGCACTGGCACCTCAATGACTACATCATTGTCAGAGAAATAGATCATCGAGATGTCCTATCACCTGATCCATGCGTGGCTCAGACCACTATGACACTGATCATAGGCTTGTCAGAGCCAAGCTGTCACTTCACATCGCCCCAAAATGGCGAAGGCAACAAGCCTTCAAAGATGTTTTAACACTAAGCGTTTGGAGGATCTAGCGATAGTACATGCTTTCAGAGAGCAGCTCGAACATGGGCTGATAAACAACCCGACAACAAACTACCCAAATCTTAGTGCCGAATGGGGTATTCTCGATACTGTCATGACAAAAAACCGGCCAGGTCGAAAGAATACTCCAGGACCTTTTGATGAAAATGACCCGGAAATCAATGTACTCATCGATGATAAACGTGCTGCTTTAACTGACTGGCAGAACAACCCTCAGTTTCGAACCACAAGAAAGCTGCGGCACAGTGCGAACTTTGTAATCTAAAGAACAAGTGGTTGAATTTTTCAATTCGACTGAAACATTTTAGCGGCTAATCACTCATGGCACAGCCCTCCTCCGCTCATCCAACGGTAACTCCCTAATTAAAGACGAAGAAGGCCTCCTTCAGCCCTGGAAAGAGCACAACCAATCGCTGCTCAATCGAAACTCCGAAGTGGATGTCCTGACTACCCAGCAGGTCCCTTAGCATCCAGAGCTAACCCATGTCAGCTATCTTCCATCTTTGGTTGAGGTGTCATCAAACAGATGAAAAATAACAAAGCCTCAGGGCCTGATGGAATTCCAGCCAAGGTGCATAAAGCAGGAGGACCTCTGCTTACCAGCCGTCTCCACTCTCTCCTGGAGAATATATGGGAAAAGGAAGAAATCCCCCAGGCTCTTAAAGAAGCCTCCATCGTCAATATTTATAAGAACAAGGGAGAGTGGTCAGACTGTGGCAACTACCGTGGGATCTCGCTGCTGTCCGTAAATGGCAAGATTATCACCCGAGTCCTCCTAAACAGACTTCTTCCTGAGGTGGGAAACTTCCTCCCAGAATTTCAATGTGGCTTTAGACCATCACGTGGAACCACTGACATGTTTTTTGATGCCCGTCAGATACAGGAAAAGTGCAGAGAACAGCATCGTGACCTGCACATGGGTTCATCGACCTAACCAAGGCTTTCGAATTGGTCAACAGGGAAGTCCTCTGACGTACCCTCAGCCGTTTTGGCTGCCCACCAAAATTCATCGCCATTGTGAGGCAACTCCACGATGGCATGAACGGCAGCGTCCTGCACAATGGCACCCAGTCTGAGTTCTTCCCCAACCAGGCGGGGGTAAAACAAGATTGTGTACTGGCACCAACTCTCTTTTCTATTTTCTTGGCTGCCTTCCTTACTCGTACCAATGCCAATGCCAATGCCAATTTAGTCGGTGGGTTGGGCGTCGAGTGCCGGATGAAGGGTCTTTTCAACAAAAGACGACTCCAGGCAGGAAAAATATGTCGGCAGCTTCCCTTACTGAACTTCAGTATTCAAATGACCTCACCCTTGTCGCTCACACTGAATGCGACTTACAGGTTATCCTGAAGACCTAAGCAGATGCGTATGCACATTTGGCCTTGAGGTGAATGTACGAGAGACTCTGATTCTCTTTCAACCTGCCCCTGGTTCAGCCACACCTCCATCATCCATCCAGCTTAACAGTACTACCCTCTCTAATGTTACCCACTTTCAGTGTCTCGGCTCCCTCCTGTTCACCACTATGGACATCGATGAAGAGATTCAACATCGAATCAGATGTGCATCTCAAGCTTTTGGCAGACTCCATACCCGTGTCTTCAGCTGTAGGGAGCTCAAATTATCTACAAAGTTGCCCGTATATCGAGCAGAGGTCCTCCCCACCCTGCTATATGGCAGTTAGACATGGGTCACACAGGAGGCACCTCAAGGTACTTGAAAACTTTCATCAACGTAGTTTACGTTTCATCCTTCGAGTTCGCTGGGAAGACAAGAAAACAAATGCCAGTATTCTCGCAGACACCAACTGTAGGAGCATCGAGGCTACCATTATCTATGAGCAATTACACTGGACTGGTCATGTTACCCTCATGGACGACAGTAGAATGCCACAGCAGCTACTTTACAGTCACCTAACGAATGGTAAACGTAACGCTGGCGGGCAACTGAAAAGGTATAAGGATGGTCTTAAGACAAGCCTGAAAAAGTGCCAAATCGACCCCCTCACCTGGGAGACGATTACTCCACACCGTAACGCTTTAAGGATCGCCATACGAGAAGGTGTCAATAATATCGAGTTAGCGTGACTGCATACCGAGGCAGACAAGCGCCAACGTTGGAAAGACGCTGCCGCTGTCCCTATAGCACTAGATTTGGCCCTCCACACGTGCAACATCTACGGTCGGCAGTGCAGGTCCCGTATAGGACTCTCATGTCATCTCAGAGCTCACTAACGAAGGTGACACCCTTAATGGTTCATATCATTGTATCATAGCTGGGTGATTGTCATACTCGATTCCTAGTGACAGCAAAGTAGTAAGTAGTAGTAGTAGTAGTAGTAGTAGTAGTAGTAGTAGTAGTAGTAGTAGTATGTGAAGTTGGTGAGTTTGATGATAGTGTGTGTGTGTGGATGATGATGGTTTGTGTGTGTGTGCGTGTGGCGACCTGTGGTGTAATGGTCAGCATGGTCGCCTCGCAAGTGAGCGAACCCGGGTTCGATCCCCGGGCAGGATGAAACTATGAGCAAGTTTCTTTACGCCATTTGCCTCTATCTACCCAGCAGTAATTGGGAACCTGGATGTTAGTCGATTTACGGATCGTGTTCTGGGGTAATGGTTAGCCAGTGCAATTGGCGAGTTGTCCGGTCTTCTCTGACTATTCCTTGACACTGGGTGTGTGTGTGATGGTGATGATGATGATGATGATGGTGTGTGTATTGTTTCAGGGGTAAGTATGTGTTTACACCTTCAATGTTTTATTTCTCTCAGGTAATTTCAGTGTGTGTTAATAAGAAACAGTAAGGTATTATAAGTATGACAATTATGAGCCATCTGAGAGCACAGCATTTCGGCCAGCTTTAATGATTAAGGTGCTAGGATGTCAACAAATAATGACATTCAGTTAATTTTGTTCCTTAGGAGGTGTTGTAGCAGACATTATCCTTGTCCCCCTGAGGTGTTTACTATGTCTCTTAGTGTTTGTGTTTCCAAATGCCCTTGAGGAACTACATATACACCAGCCTGTACTGCAACGTCTTCTGTAGGAGCCATGGCTGCATCCTTCATCATGTGTGTTATGATATTTTTTTTCCGGTTTGTAGGAGGACTTGATAATACTGTCTTGTGATGTCTCCTTTTTAGTTCGTCCTGCAAGTGGGAGTCAGCCATTATGGTGAAGAATACAGATGTGTGTGCAGTTAAGGTGGAGTTTATACTGTTGTTTTGTATGTATGTACTCCTCAAGGGACTCTGTAAGCAGAGCAATATGAGACTTTGTAAATACCTTGTATAAGACTCTAGTTTGCCCAGCTTGTGTTTTATATCTTGGATCTTGGGTGTCAAACTGCTCCTTAAATTCTTCCCGCAGCTGACGGCTGCTACTTGTTCAGTTCCAAAGTGACCGATGGTTGGCTAGGTGATGGAAACGACAGCTACACCTTCGACAAGTGTTACTCTTCCTTCCCTCTCTCTGGTGAGCTGGGCGGAAACGCCAACACCTCCTCCTCAACTGTATTCGCTAATAACTTCCCCATGAACCCCATTTCTGTGAATTACTTCTGTACCACACCCGATCTTGGTTGTTTTGAGAGCATGATAGACAGTCCTCCCTGGTGGATGGTTGACTTCGGGACGCCCACGAAAATCTCCACTGTCACTATAAGTTATGCCTATCTCATAGACAGTAACGTGCAGTTCCTTCTGGGCAACGATACCATAATGAACAACAACCCTGCTTTTGTGACTGTGTACACCACCACCCCGAAAGGCGGCCTCCTGCTCACCCCCAGCGATCCAAAAGTGGGCAGGTACTTCTTCGTGACGGAGCCAGCAATGTCCGATATTGGTATCTGCGATGTCTGGTTCCACTAAGGGCGAAACCATAAGAATAACGTTATGATGAGGATTTACTGGTGCCTGACTTTTCCCCCAACTGACATGGTAGTTGTAGCTGCTCCAGACGACCTACAGTAGGGGGCAACAGTGGACCTCTACTTGTGGTTTTAGTAGATGAAAAGGGCGCGAACACTAACAATGTCTGATATATTTCTTCAATTTAGTTAATGGAAGGTAATGGATGAATACGTCAGCTCTTGAATATTTTATATCTTCCTTTATTTTCATGAGTTCAAGGGTGAGTGTTCCCCTCCATACCACAGTGACACGTTCATGGAAAATTAACGCATCATTGCATCAGGCAAACTTTCGGTCACCTGCTTACAACACGAGCAGTCATCAGCGCCTGTCATTAACAGCTACAGACTTGGACGAAACCTCACCCGTCTTGTCGCATTAACTGGAGAATGAAGGAACACAGAAGGAAGAAAGATGAAGACGAAGAAAATAAATGGGAGGAGAGAAAGGAAAGGTGGTAGTAAGAAATGCTTGTTTGTTCACGAAGAATACAACTGGGTCGCAATAGTTCCCGTAACAAGATAATGTTAACACAGACACCCTTAACATTATCGCCTCAGTCAATGTATAATAATATATAACAAATGTTGCCTGTGAGGATTGTCTGGATAACAACAAACATCTTAGTTTATATTAAAAGATTTGTTTTTTGAAGTTATGTGAAAAATGACGCGAACATCACCTGATGTTTATCGTGTGTGTGTGTGTGTGTGTGTGTGTGTGTGTGTGTGTGCGTGTTATAGCAATTCACGGTATTGACAAATAGAGCCATAAGCCATATGTTGAAAATATACAAATGATATAATTGGTACATATACAGTACAGTATTATAGAACGGTAGGTGGAAGAGGGTTACTTAACAGTTAGAGTACAAGAGTGAGATTGGTAAGGAGTGAACACAACTTTTCTACGAGTTGTTGATAATTTTTATAATGGTTGGAATGGTGGCTGCTTATATAGCGTTCAATACGTGGTCGTTTGAGCTGGATACGGTTGTACAGTAGTGTCGAACAGCAATTCGTGGACGAGGGATCCCAGGTGGTAGCAAGAGACGGTGGTGAGGATGGTGTAGTAGGTTCGTCCCAAACTGACAGATGAGGTTCACGGTGATGATAAGAAAGAGATGGGAGGGTCACTGTACCGAGAGAATAGTCTTCTGTGTGTGTGTGTGTCTGCGTGTTTGTGTATGTCTGTGTTTGTGTCTAGATTTTCACATAAGTTCCTGTATTTTATAAGCAATAAGCACTAAGTGAGTTGTGGTAATCTATTTTCAAGTACTAACACAAAAATACTTGCTGTGTTGTCCCGTCCTGAAGATGTCAGTCATTATACACCTTAATTAATGTTTACCTTTACTTGTGCTGGATCATCTGAAGACTAGTCCCTGTCAGTTTATCTCACCTTAAATTGATACATCCTAACAGTACCTAAACAGGGGGGTTAGGTTAGGGTAGGTTACGTTAGGTTAGGTTAAGGTAAGAGGTGTCTATACTTCATGTGATCCTTTATGCTTTAATTATATACCAACAATCACGTAAGTCTTGTCTTCTGTCATGTTATGTACACACACACACACACGCATACACACACATTCAGGGTCGTTGAGAAAGCCTCACTGTGGGCTCTCTGTTTATCGATGACTCTGTATACATAATTGACTACACACAGAGTTATATTAATGATCACCAAGTAGGTTTTACAGTTCAGTAAGTAATGGACGTTATGACATTGGTGTAAGTTATGTGTAATTTATAGATACCTAGATTATATAAACTTACAGAATATGATTCATGGAATGTTGTACGAGTAATTGCTTTCCTTCACTGTGTATTTATGTGTTGTAATAAATAAAAAATAACAAACAACATACAGGTGTTTTATTATACCGAGTAATAATAGTTCTGACGTCATTCAGTACAGGTGCACTAGAAAAAAACACACACCAGGTCACACGGTACAGGGAAAGCTACACTAACCAGGTCACACAGTACAGGGAAAGCCATACTAGCCAGGTCACACAGTACAGGGAAAGCCACACTAACACGGGATACTAACCTTGATGATTCACCATGTACAACATTTTCTTCCACCGTCGATTAAGTAAATTTCCCTCACTCACGCCATCCCCCTAAACCACACCTTGTTGGGGGCTTTAATATTAATCATCTGCTTTAATCCGCTTTCTTTGTGTTGCTTCCTTTTTCTTGTTTGTTTTACTAACCGACCTCAGATTCTTGGGGGGAAATAATGATATACTCTTAATACTGCTCTAGCGTGTGTTTACGATTCATTGCTGATCATGGTGGAGACTTGAGCGGTAAGCGATTCAGGGAAGTTATGATTTGTAATAATAATAATAATAATAATAATAACATAGTGAGATATAGATAGAAAAGACAAATAAGCTTTACCCGAGGCGCCACTCTATCATAAAGTCTTGACACAAACATTACCGGAGAATTGTCACACCTAATACAAAAGACCGTATTGGTGAGGTAGTCCATGGCAGGAAATTAATGTTAATTTCGACTAGGAATATTACCAAGGTAGTGGCAGTCTATCTATCAAGACTTTGGCCCTGCTGTGACTGTCCTATGAGGGGTCGTAGGTACAGGGGTTGTAGGTGCAGGAGTCATAGGTGCAGGGGTCGTAGGCACATGGTGTAGGTGTAGGAGTCGTAGGTGCAAGGGTCGTAGGTACAGGGGTCGTAGGTGCAGAGGTCGTAGGTACAGGGGTCGTAGGTGCAGGGGTAGTAGGTGCAGGGATCGTAGGTGCAGGGATCGTAGGTGTAGGGGTCGTAGGTGCAGTGGTCGTAGGTGTCGGGGTCGAAGGCTTAGGGACACCACGGAACATTGCAGTAACTATTGCCCATCACCGGGGCAACGTGGAGCACTGTACATATATTTCAACAATGTGGACGTAAATATTCGTGCAGCCATGTAAGTTATTAACCTCCACCAGTGTTTTGTTAGGGGTGGTGGTGGTAAAAAGTTCTTAGTGGCGCTTAATAGATCAGTGGTGTAGCGATATATTTAACCTATTCTTAGGAAATTTGGAGTAGTTTATATAGAGGGACAATCATGTACGTAATTACAAAACACCTCGGTGTGCGTGTGTGTCCTCACGCCATCATGGGCCACCATAGCATAACACACATTTGTTCTACCTGCTCAGATTAAAATACACAAGTATTTAGACACACTACCTACACCACACAATACATTATACACGGATACAACCAACACACACACAGAACGCCCCTCTATAGAGTGCACAAACCTTTATAAATGGTAGGCTTCCCCCCTTACTTCAATATAGGTCCTCGTGGCCAAACAATCAACAAACATGTAATGCTTCACCAATACCGTAAACATCAGTTGCTACAGTAGTGTCTTGTACATCACCCAAGTAAGTTTATATGACAAGACTGTATCCCATCAAACATGCGAGGGTCTGCTGTTGACGTTGGTCTCGGAGTTTGGGAAAGTGTTAGTCGACGAAGAAAGATATTTTCAGTGTCTTTCTTGGTGGCGAGTGACTAATGAGGCGGACCTCTTATTTATCACACTTACTGTACTAAGGAAGGAGTGGCGTGTATTCATAGTCATATCTCGAACTTAGTTTTACAGTCAAGGAGGAGTCGTCTATTTACGTCAAAAGACGACATTCACGACCAGTAAAATATATTATTCCCTGGTGAGCTGACCCTCACTGCAACTACCTGGTAACGCTTTTATGAAGTGCTGTGAGTGTTCCAACCATTGTACAGTGTATACTATGACAGACCAATTATTGTATAGTGATTTCAAGGTCAAGAACTTGAATTAAAATTTGTGTATTAAAAACCGCAATAAGAAAGAATACAGTATATATATTATGGACTCATAATCCGTTTATGTCGAGATATCTTATGATTCTGTTGTGGGTTGAGGTGAGGTAAGCCCCCCCATAGCAAAATTTCATATTATTTAATGTCACAAACTTTTTTTAAACCTAACCTAACGTAACCTACTTTAGGCACACTTTGGTTATCTTATGATGATTAACGACAAGTTCATAACAGAAAAATATCCATCAAGTTATAACAATAAGTTATCCCTATTTGGCAAAACATCAGTTGCGTTTAAAAACTGAATCGGCGATTATCCCCTTTAGCGTGACACACACAGACACCCGCACGACACACACACACACACACACACACACACACGACACCCAATGAAACAAGTCCTGCCTTGTCCGTAGAGTTGTGTCTCTTACCGCAGCTGGGGGACACACCGCTGGATGATGCTCCTCGGTCCATCCTGATTTAAAACATTTTATATTTTACTTTTCCCGTGTGTGTGTGTGTGTGTGTGTGTGTGTGTGTGTGTGTGTGTGTGTGTGTGTGTGTGTGTGTGTGTGTGTGTGTGTGTGTGCGCGCGTGTGTGTGTGTGTGTGTGTGTGTGTTGTCGATGAATATAATAATGGAAATGAAACTTACTATGGAATGCATATCCTTTATTAACTACATAATATTATAGTAGATATGTAAAGGCTTTAAAATCTCATGTACATACACACACTCACACATCCAGGTATACATACATACAAATAAACACATATTTACTGTGAAGAACAAACAAAAGATATATATATATATATATATATATATATATATATATATATATATATATATATATATATATATATGATAACGCTGATTCGTGTTCATTATACAACACTTCTACACAACGTCCTCCTCCTCCTCCCAGTCTCATGCTCACAAAATTCCTCAAAGTTTTTCACAGTTTTCCATTTCAAGCGACGTTCAGTGAATGTCTTTTTTTTTTTATCATTTGTGTTATTTTGTTATTATTATTTTTTCTTTTTATTGAACTGGAATGAACAGACACACGTGATGATATTATTCCTATTTTGTTCTTGTTCTTTATTCGTTACACACTTGTCTTTATATCTTGTCTTGACGTCTCCATTACTCTTCACTTTGCTATATTATTTTCTTTTATTTATTGTTATTATAGAAGGGAATATATTAGCGTTAACTATATTACCTTATGGTTGTATTGTTATATTATGTATATAGTGTAATATTGATAAGTCTCCTGAGTATCGCCTTAACACAATGTGGTGGTGTGTGTGTGTTGATCCCTGTGTGTGTTGGTGGTGGTGATGGTGATGGTGTGAAGGTGGTGATGGTGGTGATGGTGGTGTGGAAGGTGGTGATGGTGGTGAGGAAGGTGGTGATGATAGTGAGTGGTGATGGTGATGGTGAAGGTGTTGGTGGTGGTGATGATGGTGGTGTGAAGGTGGTGATGATATGAGTGGTGATGGTGAAGGTACAGGTGGTGATGATGGTGGTGGAAGGTGATGGTGGTGAGGAAGGTGGTGAGGATGATAGTGAGTGGTGGTGGTGAAGGAAGGTGTTGGTGGTGGTGATGATGGTGGTGTGGAAGGTGGTGATGGTGGCGTAGTGGTGATGATAGTGAGTGGTGGTGGTGGTGATGGTGAAGGTGTTGGTGGTCGATGATGGTGGTGTGAAGGTAAGTGTGATGGATAGTGAGTGGTGATGGTGAAGGTGTTGGTGGTGGTGATGATGGTGGTGTGAAGGTGGTGATGGTGGTGAGGAAGGTGGTGATGATAGTGGAGCGTGGTGGTGGTGATGGTGAAGGGTGTTGGTGGTGGTGATGATGGTGGTGTGGAAGGTGGTGATGATAGTGAGTGGTGGTGGTGATGGTGGTGAAGGTGTTGGTAGGTGATGATGGTGGTGTGGAAGGTGGTGGATGGTGGTGGAAGGTGGTGATGGTGGTGAGGAAGGTGGTGATGATAGTGGAGCAGTGGTGGGTGATGGTGAAGGTGTTGGTGGTGGTGATGATGGTGGTGTGAAGGTGGTGGATGGTGGTGAGGAAGGTAGTGATGATAGTGAGTGGTGGTGTAGATGGTGAAGGTGTTGGTAGGTGATGGTGGTGGTGTGAAGGTGGTGATGGTGGTGAGGAAGGTGGTGATGATAGTGAGTGGTGGTGGTGATGGTGAAGGTGTTGGTGGTGATGATGGTGGTGTGGAAGGTAGTGATGGTGGTGAGGAAGGTGGTGATGATAGTGAGTGGTGGTGGTGATACCCGAGGCACCGACTCTATTCAGAGATAGTGAAGAAAACAAATTAAGTGAGATAGCAGTGACTAGTAACGATGTTAGTAAGCAAATAGACAAATTAAAGCCTAATAAGTCACCTGGTCCCGATGAGATATTTGCCAGAGTATTAAAGGAATGTAAGGAAGAGCTTAGTATGCCCTTAGCAAAGTTGTTTAACATGTCCTTAAAAACAGGTGTAGTACCAGAATCCTGGAGGATAGCGAATGTAATACTGATTTTCAAGAAGGGGGATAGATCACTATCCTCTAACTACCGCCCAATCAGTCTAACATCAATAGTAGGCAAATTACTGGAAGCAATCATTTCAAACTCTATTCGAAATCACCTGGAGAAGCACCGATTGATCAATGATTCTCAGCATGGCTTCACAAGCGGACGTTCTTGCCTAACTAATCTATTAACATTCTTTTCATCAGTTTTCGAATCGGTGGACGAGGGGCACAATTATGATGTGGTATATCTCGACTTTAGTAAAGCCTTCGACAGAGTCCCCCACGAAAGACTAATTAGAAAGGTAGAAGCCTATGGCATCAAAGGTACATCCTTAAATGGATTAGGCGTGGTTACAGGACAGGAAACAGCGAGTGAGCATTAACGGCACTAAGTCCTACTGGAGCAACGTCACAAGTGGAGTTCCCCAAGGCTCAGTATTTCTGACCATTATTGTTTATTATACATAAACCATATAGATATCGGCATAGACAGCAACATAAGTAAATTTGCTGATGACACTAAAATAGGACGTGTTATCAAATCTGACGAGGACTCGGCAAAACTACAGTAAGATCTAAACAAATTTTTCGAATGGTCTGAAAAATGGCGGATGAAATTCAACGTCGACAAATGTAAAGTACTCAGTATAGGAGATTTAAACAGGGAAACCAGATACCAGATGAACAACGATGCCATAGAGAAATCCGACTGCGAGAGAGATTTAGGAGTAATGATAAGTAGGAACCTTAAGCCAAGTAAACAATGTGTTTTTGCTCGTAACAAGGCTAATAAAATACTTGGGTTCATACAAAGGAGTGTTAATTACAAGACTACCTAGGTCATCCTAAAACTGTATCTTGCTCTTGTGAGACCACACCTGGATTACGCAGTTCAGTTCTGGTCACCGTATTACAGAATGGATATAGAATCCTTGGAAAGAATTCAGAGGAGAATGACAAGACTAATCCCGGGCATTAGGAACCTTGAGTATAGAGACAGGTTAAAGCATCTTAATTTGCACTCCCTTGAGAGACGTAGAGCTAGGGGCGACCTGATAGAGGTGTATAAGTGGAAGGCAGGGCTAAACAAAGGGGACATTACAAAGGTACTCAAACTATCCAACCAGGAGCGAACTCGTAACAATGGTTTTAAATTAGACAAATTTAGATTTAGGCGTGAAATAGGTAAACACTGGTTTGGAAACAGAGTAGTGGATGAATGGAACAAGTTACCAAATATCATCATTAACTCGAATACGCTGAATAGCTTCAAACATAGGTTGGATGCTTATATGAGCAATAGGGGTTGGGTGTAAACGGGACTGCCCAGTATGGGCCAATAGGCCCGCTGCAGTTTCCTCCATTCTTATGTTCTTAAGGTGTTGGTGGTGGTGATGGTGGTGAGGTAGGTGGTGATGATAGTGAGTGGTGATGGTGGTGGTGAAGGTGTTGGTGGTGGTGATGATGGTGGTGTGGAAGGTGGTGATGGTGGTGAGGAAGGTGGTGATGATAGTGAGTGGTGGTGGTGATGGTGAAGGTGTTGGTGGTGATGATGGTACGAGTGGTGGTGATATAGGTGATAATGTATGTGTTAGTTTATTATGAGGTTAACAGTGGTGGTCTGTGGTGAGGTTTACTGGGGTGAGGGAGAGGTGTTGGCCGGTGGTGGGGTGACGCACCAACACAGTGGCAGTGTAGGTGGTGGCAGGGTGAGGGTGTTGAGGTGTGTCGCTGGCGGCCTGCAGGTGTGGGTGGGCCACACCACCGCGCCGCGTATTGTGCCGCCTGCCGCAGCTCCGCCCTCCAGCCACACTGTAAAGGCGGCCGCGTCCTCCACATCTTACCGCTCTTGTCCTCCTTCACCAGGATGCAGTAGGACTGTAACCCGGGCGCAGCCGACCACCTGAAGGTGGCGGAGTTGCAGGTGACGCGCCCTACCCTTACACGAGAGTTGCGGGGCAGGCGTGGGAAGGGGAGGGCGCGGGCGGTGTGGGCGGCGGCCAGCAGCACCTTGTTGGCTGCCTGGAGGCTGGTCTTGAGGGCCAGGACAAGGGCTTCAGGGGAGGGGCTCCTTACGGCTAGGTGCAGCACCCCGACACCGCCCACCGCACCTGCTAGCCGCTCCCCACACTGCGACTCCACCCGTAACTGCACCTTAGCGCCTGAGCTACGGCCATCACGTGCAGCAGATGGCCGCCTCGTTTAACGCGAAACTTGGCCTTGGCCAGACCTGCGGCAGAAGGCACCAGCTTTAAGAAGGATCCTGGTTTGAGTCGCGGTACTCTTCTCTTAGGCGTAGCAGGAACCACCCCACGTCCGAGGGGCGGCCCAGCCATGCCAGCCGCCCATACTACCACGTGCAATGGGCGGCAGGGTGGGGTGGGGCAGAGTGTACCAAGGGCGGTCTGTACACCCCAGCACAACAGGCGGCCCTCGCTTACTCTTCTTCAGGCGGCGGTGTCGGCGGTGTCGGCGACGTGTGGGCGGCGACAGGGCTGCACGGGCGGCACAGCGACGGAAAGTGGCGGCCCTCGCTCATAGCCAGACAGTAGCCGCCGCTCCTGCCGCTATCAACACAACAAAACACACATTAACATAGTTCTCTGGGTTTAATTTTGACTTTGAATATTGTTCCCATCTTAATGTTGTCACCAGAATTTGTCCTCACCTGAATATATTGTCCTCACCTGGTGGTCCACCTGAGAGTGACGGCCTTGCCCCAGGGTGGGTGTGCGGGTGGTGGTGATGTGGGCGGTGGGTGGAGTGGGCTGCCAGGCCGCTGTGGCGTCAATGTGCACGTGGCTGTCTCCTGCCAGCGTCTTTACCTGAGTGATAAACTACACTGTACACTGTTGCTCTAATTTACACTGTCCCTCAAGTGCTAGTGATAAACTACACTGTACACTCTTGCTCTAGTTTACACTGTCCCTCAAGTGCTAGTGATAAACTACACTGTACACTCTTGCTCTAGTTTACACTGTCCCTCAAGTGCTAGTGATAAACTACACCGTACACTGTTGCTCTAGTTTACACTGTCCCTCAAGTGCTAGTGATAAACTACACTGTACACTGTTGCTCTAGTTTACTGTCCTCAAGTGCTAGTGATAAACTCACACTGTACACTGTTGCTCTAGTTACACTGTCCCTCAAGTGCTAGTGATAAACTACACTGTACACTGTTGCTCTAGTTTACACTGTCCCTCAAGTGCTAGTGATAAACTACACTGTACACTGTTGCTCTAGTTTACACTGTCCCTCAAGTGCTAGTGATAAACTACACTGTACACTGTTGCTCTAGTTTACACTGTCCCTCAAGTGCTAGTGATAAACTACACTGTACACTGTTGCTCTAGTTTACACTGTCCCTCAAGTGCTAGTGATAAACTACACTGTACACTATTGCTCTAGTTTTTCCCTCAAGTGCTAGTGATAAACTACACTGTACACTGTTGCTCTAGTTTACACTGTCCCTCAAGTGCTAGTGATAAACTACACTGTACACTGTTGCTCTAGTTTACACTGTCCCTCAAGTGCTAGATATAGACAATAAAGACCTGGTTTGCTCAAATATCTTCCCGTTGGTTTTAGAGATGTTCTTGGAGTGTGTAAGCAAGTCGTTGTTTACACACATGGTGGAGAACCCATTGTGTATAGACAAGGAGGAGAATTTACTGTTTACACACAAGGCGGAGGTCACACACACACACACACACACACACGGTGATTACTGGACACACTGGGTGTAATAAACCTTCGGCTTAACCTTTTGAGGACGATGGTTTAACCTAACTATTTGAGGACATTGGTATAACTCCTTGAGGACGATGATTTAACTCTTCGAAGGCGGTGATTTAACCCTTTGAGGACGATGGTTTAACCCTTTGAGGACGGAGTTTTAACTTTGTAACTAAGATCGTTGGTTTAAATAAATGGTATTCAATTTATTAGCATGATCAATCTCCCTAACTTTCACATTTTACCACTCGTTAGTTTTCCAAATCTCCGACGAAAATTAAATTCTCACAAACTTTTGAATTCTTGTATACATTCGTTAGTTTTATTAAGTTGTACTAAAAAAAAATCCAAAATTTTCCCCAAATCTCTCAATTTTCTCAAGTTTCAAAATTGTCTATGCATTCAAATGAATTCTAAGTTATGAATACTAAATTAAATGCCAAATACTCGATGAATGTTATTTTATTTTTGTATTATAATTCCCAATATAATTTTGTACCTGCAATACGTAAAGTCCAGGTGCTGCCATCCGCTGTGTGTGCTGCCTCGGCTCATGGCCCTCGTACCACTCAATCAATATTTCCTTCTTATCTCCACTATCCTTATCTTTTTTTACCGTATCTCCACCTTCATCAGTTATCATGGAGGGATTATTTATCATCTTTCTCGTTGTATTTCTCTTAATTGCTTCATTATCACCTTTAGTTCGATACACATGAGGCTTCAGATACTTGTAAATTAATAAGTTCAAGGTACTTAACACTGGGCTGGTATGGTTATGTATGGAGGTCGACTCATCTGAAGCAGCGACACTATTGTGAATCTTGTTAACACTGACAACTTCAAGTGGAGTCTTTTGTGTGTTTCCGTAGTGTGGGAAACCTTGAGAGGCATTCTTGGTACTGGTGTCCTCCTGAGATGTTCTTTGGGGTGGATTCAGATGGGAGGGTGTGGTGAGTGGTGTGGGTGTAGAGTGGGCGGAGGGAGAGGGACCAAGAGAGGGGCGAGGAGCATGGGGTGACGAGGAGGGTGAGTGGGCCCTCCACCACTAGAGGGAACACCAGCCTGTAAAAGGGATCAAGAGTTACATAGAGAAAACTAACAAGCACGTGTGTGTGGACAAAAGTAATAATGATAAGAAATATGGATCACATGAAGACTAGGCACTCTAGCTTATTTCACCTGATGATTAAACACCTTAATGCAACCTGTAGGGGTTAGGTTAGATTAGGTTAGGTTTAGGTTAGGTTAGTGTTGTGTTAGGTTTAGTTACTGTATATTAGATTAGGTTAGGTCTACATTACTGTGGTTAATTTTAGAAATAAACAGAGGGAACTAATTTTTTAAGTGACACAAAAATAGTCATGATTACTGTTCACTCACACACACATCAACCAGTCCTACACCAGCTGTCAATAAGTCAAGTTAAATTTAAGACAGAAATTTTTCCCCTAAAACAATGAGATGTAAATAAACTTGTCTATCACTCACAATTCCTCTACTTGAGAACCATGACAACAACAATGATTAAATAACTTAAGTTTATCATAAGAAATCATAAAGAACTCACCAGGTAACAACTATATCAAAATTATCATCAGCACGTAACTTTATTTTTTATTAATGAAAGACGTTTTACCGAAGGAGGACCTACTACAGAAGGACTCCTTACCTCTTTATCTGTCCATCCAGTAGAAAGATTGAAACCAGGTGATCATTGGGTAGGATTTTGACATCGTAAGCGCGGTCATCCTCCGTCAGCTTCTCCCGGAGGATATAGGATGAAGTCTTAGAATAGGACGTTGAGGATAGAGAGGAGATGTTGTTGTGGTGGTGGATTTGGGAGGATAGTTCCGTGCTGGTAGAGGGTAGAGGGATGTTGTTTAGGGATGAGGTAGGGTTGGCAGGTGAGGCGAAGATGGATAGAAGGATAGTGATGATTGGTAAGAGGACGATGACATCTCTCCTCGCCATGACATATCCACTGTGAATCTGAGACGCAGGGAGAGACAGAGAGAGAGAGAGATAAAGTTCTCTCCATCACGGTGTATGCATGTGGTGAGAGAGAGAGAGAGAGAGAGAGAGAGAGAGAGAGAGAGAGAAAAACACAGAATGAAAACAAAGGAAATTTGATTCCCTATAGGCTATATATCGTTACCGTAACCCCTCCCCCCCCCAGCACACACACACACACACACACACCACCTGACACTCATTACCTACCTGAACACCTGCACACCTTTAGTCCGGAGCTTCTTTAATAAAATGATCATATGTTGAATTTCTACCCCGAA